CAACTATAAACCTAAATTTCGAAAGTAAAGGGAACTAGCTACACTTATTATTTCTGTAAAATATTATTTACGTGATAGATACACAAAAAGGTGTCATAGTCATGATTAGGGTAGAAGGTGCATATGATCTTCCACACTGAACATCAAGTCATTATCTTTCCCTTCAATACTAACATGAATTCCAAGCAAAATGACACAGAAAGTCCATCCACAAAGTGACTTTGTGTTGGATCCTTTCTAACTCGACCCAATTTACCAACACATCTTCATATTTGGGTCCCCCCCACGTCTAGTCATGTTAGTTGAAAGAAAATCCAAATGACTTATTAATTAGTAGGGACTTTTTTGTTTATTAAAAATGTGAAGACGTTTAGGGTTTGTTCGTTTATTATTATTTTTTTAGTTAAGATGATTTGAGTTCATATTTTAATTTGAATTAATGTGTATTTGAGTTTGGACTCTAATTTAAGTTTGTGTTTAGATAGACACATTTTGAGTTATGGTTTGAATTGAGAATCTATTTGAGTTTGTGTTTGGGTGGGTCAAAACTTGAATTTGTATTTAGACAGTGTTTTAATAAAAACTCAATGGTGATGAAAAATTTTAATAGGGTATATGGGTGGGCTTTTAATCATCTCTTCGTTGTGAACACATAGAAAAAAAATCATCTCAATCGTCATTAAAACTAAAAAATTATGACGTTTTTAAGAATAAAAAAAATATTGTTCAGTAATTTGAGTTTGAGTTTAGAAACTTGAGTTTAAGGGGGAAATTTGAACTCATATTTTAACCTCAAACTCAAGTTCAAACTCAAATTTTACAAAAAAACATTAACTTAAATAAAATTGTAATTTGAATTCAAACTTTTTTGAGTTAAACTCAACAACCCTTTAATCTTTAATTTGTACCTTCTCAAGACTTGCAAAAGATAAGAGATAAGTGATTAGATTTATGTTTAATCAATGTTTCTTTCAATTTCTAATCACGGGTTAGTCTAAAAAAGATCAGTCCAATTTACAAACCTGGATATGATTGTGATTTAATTCGTTATCGGGTGTTTAACTGTGATTAGACCACGGTATAAAATTTAGACATTGCTAATAACCAACAAGGACGCTAATTGACCGGAAATATGAATCTTAACAAAGAGAATTGTTGAAGTATTATAAAAAGAAAAAAAATAAAGGCTGTTTAATGCTAATGTTGAAGTTAATATAAAAATGTATCAAGATGTCACTGTTATATTACTCGTCTCAAATAGAAAAATTAAAGGAGGAACTAATGTAATGTTTGGTAGAGGGATTCATTTCCTGATTTGAATCATGACTCGTGATTCGTTATAGTATTTTTTTTCATAAAAAATTAACGTAAATTAAAAATTGTTCGAATCACATAATTTAAATTTTTCAACCAAACGTCCTCAGGACACATTAAATTAAACAAATATTTCACTTCATATGATGTAGGGACAAAAATTGTCCACATTGCATCTTTGATACCCCCTGAGTCTTTGACTATCAACAGTTTGCTTTTACCTACCATCTCTCTCTTTCTCTCTCTTTACAGTGTCTTTACCTAACTTTTGCCCTCTCTCTCTCATTGATTCTCAACTAACAATACATTTGAGGTTGGTTTACTAAAAAAAAATAAAAAAAAAATAAAAAAAATAAAATAATAAAATAAAATTTTGAGGTTGGTGGTTGCCGAGTAATACCGCCTCGTGATTGTTATGTTTCTTCAGAAAAAGGAAAAGCAAAAATAAATAAATAAATAAATGAACTGGTCAAGTGTCAATCAAATAAATGCCCTTATTTGTGAGATAAGCACCTTTTTGGACTCTGCAAGATTTGCCGACACCAGTTAACGCAACACAGCCTAGCCTAGCTCAGTAGTTCTCCACTTATATATAAAATCTCCAGAATCCGTACTTTTCGGCTAAATATTGATAATGAAGAGTCCTTATAAGTTTGAAGGAAAATATAATTTTTTTTTTAAGGAAAATTTTGGGCATGTTTTTTTTCAAAAAAATTTAAAAAAAGACAACTTAAGTTTTAATTTTATTTAAATTCACGTTCTTTTAAGTTTCAACTTTATTTCGTTCATTTCACCGATTCGAGTTTTACTACAGTAAAAAGCTCTCAGAAACAGTCACATCTAACTTTTTTGCTACAGTAAAAAACTCTCACACAAAATCACATCTCAACTCGAATTACAAACTCAAATCAGCAAAGTGAACGGGTTATTCAAGTTTTAGTTCAAATTTAACTCAAAAACTACGCTATAAAAGAACAACCCCTTTATTTTTTTCAAAGTGTATTTCTACAGTGCACTGCTCAGCTCGCTTAAGGGCTGGCTTGGTGGTCCTTGTGATTGATTGAGACATGAGATTAGGTAGCGCAATGTTCAAACGTTGCGCCATGAGATTTAACACTTGATTAGCCCATTTTTTTGGCTGGAAAACTTAATTAGGCCCTTTGACCATTTACAAAGAGGGACGGACTTTATAGAGCTTTGATTTGATTTTTTTTTTTAAAGAGAGCTTTATTGTGAGTTATAAGAGTTTCGGCTTATATATTCTTTTATTAGCGTCATCTTTTGTATTTTTTAATAATATTATATTCGTGTGTAATCTGGTTATTTAGTATTCTAATATTTAAAGGTATTGTTTTTCAAATAATAGAAAATTTAAAAACTTCCTTCGAGATTCTTCTAATACTGGATTTTTTTTTTTACTTTTTGGAAATATCCAACAATGGAAAATTGTGGGAAACCACGACAACTAAATTCCAAACGTGTAATTACCAAAATTACTAATCAACCCATTAGGAGAAACAAATGGCCTGAATGGTTATAAGAAGTCGGGTTTTCCTAAATATTTTTGGGACTTATATGCAAACAAAAATGACATCATTTTAGCAATAAAAGTAAATTGATACGACGAGGTTGGGTTAAAGTTAAGCAAAGCAAGCGATTGAAAAAAAAAAAAAAAAAGAAGTAAAAGCAGTATCTTATATACCATTGGCCGCATAAAAATCAGATGGCAGATAATTACATATACCATTGGCCGCGTATCAAGGGTATGATAATAAATTATCAATTTTGTGATTACGTTTGGATTTTACAACGTCAACGATTCACCTAACCCCTTTCTTTCCTTTTACTAAAATACCCTTGAGTATGAGAGAAAATGTTGTATTAAAAAAATTAAATTTAAATTTTTGTGAGAATAAACATTGTATTAATAAAACTTGAGTTGTGAAAAAAATAAACTCTAGGTGAAACACAAGTGTTGAGATCTAACAGGAAAAAGACCCGCTCAACGCATAAAGATTGAGTACGATCAAAGCTCGTTAGACAAAATCACTATAATCGATGGATTCTCAGTCGACCGAGACCAAATTTTAAATAATTGAGACATAAACAACATGATATAAAATCAAATGTAGTCGGATACCATCACTCATGTTATCAATAAATGAAAAATTAGAAAATGCAGCAACAATAGTAAGAGGCGTAGGGATGATTATGCTAACAATATTATTTTTCAAATGGGAGAAAAACAAAAAAGGAAGATTATTTTATCATAAAAAAGGAAATGTTTGCCATCTTGATTCTTAAATACAATGAAAACAATTAGGCATCGTTCACTTCGCGGATTCGAATTTTCAATTCGAGTTGAGATGTGACATTTTTTGAGAGCTTTTCACTGTAGTAGAAAAAGTTATATGTGATATTTTCTGAGAGTTTTTTACTGTAGAAACTTAAAACTGAAAACTCAAATCGGTGAAATGAACGAACCCTTAATATTTGAGACATTGCCTTATTTACTACTTTTTAAATCATTTTTCAAACATTTTTTTGAAGAAACTTTTGAAACATTTTATGACCAGGTAAGAAAAAATGATTGGAAACTATCAAATAATCATATTAAATTACAATTTAACGAAACCAAATCCACATTATTTTATAACACAATTTTCTATTACCTCCATGACAACTTGATTGCCAAATCCACATTATTTTTCAATCAGAGATAAGAGATAAAGCTGTTTATCTTTTATGCTTAAATTTCTACATAAAGATGATGAAATAAAATTCTGATATATAAAGTGAAAGCTAAGTATTATTTTAAAAGAGATTCTCTAATACGTTTTGCATATTGGTATTTTTGGTTTTTCTAATCGTTAAATATGCATATTTTTTAATTTTTACATGATTTTATACAAATCTGATAAACAGAAAACATGACACACGAGTACATTAGCGTACCAAAAAAAGTCCCTTATTCTAATTGTAATTAGAAAAAAAGTGAGATATAGGATGGCAAATTGGTAGTTTAGCAATTAAGTAGTCCCAAAAAATTATGAATTTTTTTTGGGAAAGAACAAATTAATACCTTGTTCATATATATATATTATTTTTTATTTATTTAAGGATACTCTTAACAATAATTAACAAGGAATCTATAAAATTATATGTGACGAATGGTGATTCGATCCCGCTAACGAAGCACTCGCTGCGGAGGCTCGGAGCCGAACCTAGATGGATAAGTATAGCATGTTATTAGGGTTGGAAGAACAAACTAATAAAAGTGTAAGCGGCGGCTTCCGAAGACTAAAGACCAAAACCAAACAAAACAAAAAAAGAAAAAGAAAAAGAAAAAAAAAAAACCTCTCACTCTCAGGCGGTGTCTATTATTATTTATTATATATCTCTTTATAAAATCTATCTCTTTTCGGGGCCCACCACGAGCGGCTGTCGCGTGCCGCATAGGCTGTTGCATGCGTGGCAAAATCGAGAAATTTCCCGCTGGCACGTCACTAAACAAATATTACTAGGACTTGGTAAATTTAACCCTAGTGGTCCCCACAATTCTCTCTCTCCGAAAATACACTTTTTATTATTATTTATTATTTTATTTTATTATTATTATTTTTTTTCCTTTTCTCCCTGTTTTTCCTCTATAAAAACAGGCCCTCTCTGCCTCGCCGAGGAGAACCTAAAAGAGCACAGAGGCTCCAGCTCGCTAGTTTGCCTCGCTGCCTGCTTGCTCTCTCTGTTTTCCTCTTCTTTCTTTCGTTTTTTCGCTCGTTTTCCGGGAAACCCGTGGTGGTTTTTTTTTTTTTTTTTTTTCTCTCTCTTCGTTCGAGATCTTCGGAGCCGTCTCTTCAACAAGATTCCGCCGACGAAGGAGGAGGAGAAGAACGAAGCAGATTTTGTAAAGCGAACTCCTTGCAACTTCTCGATCCTCTCAGCGGTCGAGACCTCCCTTTTTCTGTTTGTTTCCCTGGAAAATAGATCTTTTTTCCTCCGATTTTCGTTGAAGCGAGGTCTAATCCGGCCCTGAAACGGAATCGGTTGGGGACATTTGCGCAGATCTGTTTTGCTGAGAATTGAAAGGACCTGGAAACTAGCTTTGATTCGGATCTGAAACCTTGTATTTCGTCCCTAATCAAACTCAAAGACTGGATCTAATTTAGGCTCGTACAAGGAATTAATTTTCTTTAAAGGCTAGTTTTTGTGTGAAAAAATTGCATTTTTATATAGCTTTCTGGACAAAAATCTAAAGGTAGATTGTGAACAATGTTGGGAGCCAGTGGTTCTATTCTCCAGCTCCGAACAAAACCCTGTCTTACACCTCAACTGAACGCTAGTCCGATAACGAGGGTCTCCGGCAGACCGGCGAGATGCTCTGCGACTAGGAAATCGTCAAATGCTGTGGAGAAAAAGTTCTTTGGAACTAGACTTAGGGCTTCCGGGTCGGAGAGAGTCCATTTGTGGCGATCCGACGGCCCCGGTAGGTCCCCGAAGCTTCGGGTTGTCGTCCGCTCCTCGCTCTCTGCCGTTCCTGAGAAGCCCCTTGGTCTATACGACCCGTCGTTTGATAAGGACTCTTGCGGTGTCGGCTTCGTCGCTGAATTGTCCGGCGAAAGCAGTCGCAAAACGGTAAGCGAAAGAAAAGATCTTGATGGATATTTTTACTGAATAAATCGATATGGATTAAGAGATACGTAACATGATGTGATTTTTGAAAGAGGTTTAGATTTGATATATATATATATATATATTTATATATGAGATGTATACTGTGATTTTTAATGAGATATTACCTATGCTATTGTAGATTACGGATGCTCTGGAGATGTTGGTGAGAATGGCACATAGAGGGGCTTGTGGTTGTGAGACAAATACTGGTGATGGTGCTGGAATTCTTGTAGCCCTTCCTCACGAGTTCTACACAGAGGTAAGTTTATCGTCATAATAATAATGTGTTTGCTAAATTTTGTTTTGTCCATTTATTAATCTTTGAGAATAAAATTTTCTTCTTTTTTTTGTTTTTGTTTTTTTTAATAATTTATTTTTTTAATAATTTATTTTTTTTCACCTTCCTCCAGGCACCGGGTTATCACTGCATATATTATTACTTAGTTTCTTTTTTTTTTTTCCTTATCAATTACTTAATTAACTAATTATTCATCTATTTGTTTGTCTGCTTCTTTTCATTACCGTCCATGATAAAAACTCCATCTTTTTTTAATCATGTGTGTGTATATATAGGTTCTCAGTAAAATGCCATTTGCGTATATGTAACAGCATACACTTATGGGAGAGGGGAGTTATTTTTGGATATAGAAATTTTCCCCCTTTTTTTCTTTGTTCATCCTGGAAGAGAACTCATTGCACACATATTAAAGGAACGGTTGCTTTATTGCATTCAACAATTAATAAAAATGATTTAATGTTTAGCAGTAAGGAAAGTTTGTACAGGTTGCCTGTATGGTTTCGTGCACTTTGTTACTGGTTCTTGGTACTCAGTTCTCTTCGCTTGATTTTTGTCAGGTTGCTAAGGATGCTGGGTTTGAGCTTCCACCACCGGGTGAATATGCTGTTGGTATGATGTTCTTGCCCACATCTGAAAGTCGCAGGCAAGAAAGTAAAAATGTATTTACAAAGGTAATTTCTGGTTGTAGACAGTGACATAACGGAAACGGAATTGCAATCTCTGAATTATATGGGTATCTACTTAATTCTTTGGGATTTGTTTAGTTTTTCACATTAACTTAGTCATCCGATGATGGTCTTGCTACGTTTTCTCTATATATTGTTTGGTTGGGTGTATTTCTCTGCTTATGCTGCTGGTATCTTTCCATTACAAATATCGACGTTGACCGAACATATCATTGATTGTGTATAGGTAGCTGAATCTCTTGGGCATACTGTTCTTGGGTGGCGATCAGTGCCAACAGATAACTCAGGATTGGGAAGGTCTGCTTTGCTGACAGAACCAGTGGTTGAGCAAGTCTTCCTTACCCCTAGTAATAGGTCAAAAGTTGACCTGGAGCGCCAGGTAGTCTTCATTTTGGTTTGCAATGATCCTGTTTGTAGAACTACAATGTGGAGCAATAAATCAACTAAAACTTTTGGGTTCTATTAGATTGCTTTCATTACCAGATCTCCTGTAATGTGTGGGGCGACAAATAATTTGCCTAGTTACTGGCTGTTTGATTCTTTTTACATAGTTTTAGGGAGAAAGTAACGATCAATTCCATTAAGAATGATGATAAATTTGCATCATCTGGCCACATGAGCAATCAAAGCAATGTGCTTTTTTATTTCTCCAAGTTTCTGATTATTGTACGCATCTTCAATTCATTTCAGATGTACATATTAAGGAGGCTTTCAATGGTTGCTATACGCGCTGCGTTAAACCTGGAACATGGTGGTGCTAAAGACTTTTACATTTGCTCTCTCTCCTCGAGGTGTTTATTAGATAGTCGTCACATTTATTTCAGGGGACCTTTAATGTCACTCTATGACATTATCACATTATTGTGATATACTCATTTAACTCGATATGTGCAGGACTATTGTTTACAAAGGTCAGCTGAAGCCCGTTCAATTGAAGGATTACTATTTTGCAGATCTTGGCAATGAAAGGTTTACGAGCTACATGGCCCTGGTAAATATATTATCCATTCACTATTTATCTTTCTCCACTAACTTCATACTCCAACAAACAGCATGGGAACAACCAGTAACTGAAGGGATGCAAGGTTGAGGAATGACTTCTGAGGCATTGAGGTTTGAATGATCTCTTAAGTTCTTCCGCTCCCTTGATTACTAATTGTATGTTGATGCTGGATTGGATGCATGGGTGAGTTGGTAAGAAACCTCATTATCAAGTAAATCATGTTTGCAGAAAATTAGGTCCAGTGATCTCTATGATACTGTTGAGGTTGAACTTTATTAAGTGGCTAAAAGGAAATCATGTTTCCCATTTGTTTCTGGCACTACTAAGGCGGCCATAACACAATTTCGTGCTTGTGGTTTTCGGATAAGTTATCATCTTTTTAACAGGGTACGAATTGGGAATGACGGTCCTTGTTGTTTTGATCATTGGTGCAGATACACTCTCGATTCTCAACAAATACTTTTCCTAGCTGGGATCGTGCTCAACCTATGCGTGTCTTGGGCCACAATGGGGAAATAAACACCCTTAGAGGGAATGTGAACTGGTACGTTCTTCACTAATAGGTTTACTGTTGACTATTGATAGGAACGAAACTAAACCAAACGAAATATAAAACAATCGATGTTTATGAACAATCAATGTTTATGTTCATCTGGTGTTTTCAGCGTACGTTTGATTAAGCAAGATTATTCTAGTGATTTTATCGTTCTGCTGATTCTTTCTGAAATTTAGAGTATTAAAGATTACCGCTGACATTATCAGGATGAATGCTCGAGAGGGATTGTTGAAGTGCGAGGAATTGGGTCTGTCAAAGAATGAGTTAAAGAAGCTTTTACCCATTGTTGATGCTAGTTCATCTGATTCAGGTGCACTTTTTATAACATTTTGAGTTTGCACATGCGGATGTCCATGCATGAATTACATTAGCATGGTTTCCATATGCAGCTTTTTGCACTCATTGACTTATTAAGGGTATAGTAGTTTACTAGTAAAACTGTTGTATAAGCGACCCTGCGCATGTTCTAATTTACATCAGTATGATTTCCTTATGCAGGAGCTTTCGATGGTGTTCTTGAATTCCTGATTCGATCTGGCAGAAGTCTTCCTGAAGCTGTAATGATGATGATACCTGAAGCATGGCAAAATGACAAGAATATGGATCCTGAACGAAAGTCATTGTATGAGTACTTCTCAGCTCTCATGGAGCCATGGGATGGACCAGCTCTTATATCATGTAATATTTATTTGAAGAAGCCTTGAACTCAATAATTTTGTCTATATTATACTTCTCTTCCATGGCTCTGTACTCATGCAATACCTTTGCAGTTACTGATGGTCGATACCTGGGAGCCACTCTTGATCGAAATGGATTGCGACCTGGACGTTTCTACATCACCCACAGTGGACGTGTTATAATGGCAAGTGAAGTTGGTGTTGTAGACATTCCACCCGAAGATGTTAGCAGGAAAGGAAGACTTAACCCTGGAATGATGCTTTTGGTAGATTTTGAAAATCATATTGTGGTAGATGATGAAGCCTTGAAGCAGCAGTATTCAATGGCAAGACCTTATGGAGAGTGGCTGAAGAGGCAAAAGATTGAGCTCAAAGACGTAGTTGATTCTGTTCATGAATCTGACAGGGTTGCTCCAGCCATAGCCGGAGTGTTGCCGGTAAGTTTGATGTAATTATTCATGAAAATCTGTATTCCATTCCCCTCTGTCAGCCATTTTCAATTGACACATTATTTTTGAATTTTAGGCATCTGCTGATGATGAGAACATGGAAAACATGGGCATCCATGGTCTGTTGGCTCCTCTAAAAGCTTTTGGGTATATGCTAATATCTGTTCCACCTCTTGTTGAATATTGATAAATTTTTTCTTCTAAGGAATTTGCTTCTTACCTTGGGGTGCTTTTTGCAGTTACACTGTTGAAGCCCTTGAAATGTTGTTGCTTCCTATGGCTAAAGATGGTGTCGAGGCCCTTGGGTCAATGGGGAATGATACTCCCTTGGCTGTCATGTCCAGTAGAGAAAAGCTCACATTTGAGTACTTCAAGCAAATGTTTGCTCAAGTAACGAACCCCCCAATTGATCCTATCCGAGAGAAGATTGTCACTTCCATGGAGTGTATGATTGGTCCAGAAGGAGACTTGACTGAAACCACTGAAGAACAATGCCATCGCCTCTCCCTGAAAGGGTCCCTTTTATCAATTGAAGAAATGGAAGCAATTAAAAAGATGAAATATAGAGGTTGGCAAAGCAAAGTTCTTGACCTTACTTATTCTAAGAGCCGTGGTAGGCAGGGCTTGGAGGAGACTTTGGATAGGATTTGCACTGAAGCTCATGATGCTATTAAAGAGGGGTATACTACAATAGTACTTTCTGACAGAGGTACTTGCTTAAGAAAAACGTTATTTCTGAATGAACCTTGTGTTATATCTAACAATAATGGAATACTTTGTAACATTTTATTATATGCGTTTCTCAAACTTACATGGTTGTAAAATTCTAAATGTAGCCTTCTCGAAGAAGCGTGTTGCCGTAAGCTCCCTCTTGGCTGTTGGTGCGGTTCATCAATATCTTGTTAAAAAGCTTGAGCGCACTCAAGTTGGGTTAATTATTGAATCTGCCGAGCCACGTGAAGTGCACCATTTCTGTACACTCGTTGGATTTGGTGCGGATGCTATCTGCCCATACTTGGCAATAGAGGCCATTTGGAGATTGCAGGTTGACGGTAAAATCCCACCAAAAGCTAATGGTGAGATTCACTCCAAGGAGAAGCTGGTGAAGAAATACTTCAAGGCAAGCAATTATGGAATGATGAAGGTTCTTGCCAAGATGGGAATATCAACTTTGGCTTCTTACAAGGGTGCTCAGATTTTTGAGGCTCTGGGTCTTTCATCAGAAGTGATCGAGAGGTGCTTTGCTGGAACTCCAAGTAGAGTGGAAGGTGCAACATTTGAGATGCTTGCTGGTGATGCTCTTCATCTGCATGATTTAGCATTCCCATCTCGCGCGTTTCCCAAAGGAAGTGCAGAATCTGTGGCCCTGCCAAATCCTGGGGTTTACCACTGGAGGAAAGGTGGTGAGATTCACCTCAATGACCCTCTCGCAATAGCAAAGCTTCAAGAGGCTGCCAGAACTAATAGTGTGGCTGCTTACAAAGAGTATTCCAAGCTCATTCATGAATTGAATAAAGCCTGCAATTTGCGGGGGATATTGAAATTTAAAAAGTCAGACGTGAAAGTTCCCTTGGATGAAGTGGAACCTGCCAGTGAAATTGTTAAGAGGTTCTGTACTGGGGCCATGAGTTATGGATCTATATCATTGGAGGCACACACAACACTGGCTATTGCTATGAACAGAATCGGGGGGAAATCGAATACAGGTTTTGAATTTATGCCCCTTTCTTGTGGTTTCATGTTATATGAGTTATCTTCCTTTTATTTTTCAACAAATCTTTTGATGTCCCATTTAAAGTTTCCACTTGTAGTTATAGTTATGTTAGAGTCTGAAGTGCTTGTTTCAAATCAATCCTCCTTACTTGTTTGACCATTGCTTCTACAACAATTTCCACTGAACTGTTCTGCCCCAATTTTGCTGTAGGTGAGGGAGGCGAGCAGCCCTCTCGCATGGAGCCTCTTCCGGACGGTTCCAGGAATCCAAAGAGGAGTGCTATCAAACAAGTTGCCAGTGGGAGATTTGGAGTCTCGAGTTACTATCTTACAAATGCTGATGAGCTGCAGATAAAAATGGCTCAGGTAGTTATTCAGAGTCTAATATTCCTGCTTCAAGGTTCATGCCTGGTTAATGTTCTCTTGTTTTCCCGATGTTATCATTCATTCTCTGCACTCCTATTGGAACAGAGGTTCCTCTTGTTTATGGATCTATGTTCATGGCAGATGATGCTGTGTCTGCACAGCACCTGACGGTGCCTTTGCATCTTTAGTTGATACCTACATTTGGTGTTTTGGTGAGATTGAGAAAAACGTGTTTTTTGTAATCTCTGCGTTGATTGTATATTAATTTTGATCGATATTGTTGTGCAGGGGGCCAAGCCCGGTGAAGGAGGTGAACTTCCTGGTCACAAAGTTGTAGGAGAAATTGCTGTCACCAGGAATTCTACTGCTGGAGTGGGACTTATTAGCCCGCCTCCTCATCATGATATCTATTCAATTGAGGACCTAGCTCAATTAATTCATGATCTAAAGGTACGAGCATTTACTGTTATCTCCCAACCTATCCTCTGGTTATATGACCTGATGGAATGTGTTGCTAAATTCTCCAGTGCCAATATTAGTTTTTCCTTTTTATGAAGTTCCATTGTAATCTTCGTGCAAAGCTTTTTGTACTACCAACTTCTACACTATCTGATTGCACTCTTTTTGCAGAATGCTAATCCGGGTGCTCGAATCAGTGTCAAGTTAGTATCTGAAGCTGGTGTTGGTGTAGTTGCCAGTGGAGTTGTTAAGGGGCATGCCGACCATGTCCTGATCTCAGGTCACGATGGAGGTACAGGGGCATCTAGATGGACTGGCATCAAGAATGCTGGGCTTCCGTGGGAACTTGGTTTAGCTGAGACTCACCAGACCTTAGTTGCAAATGATCTTCGTGGTCGCACAGTTCTCCAAACAGATGGCCAGCTGAAAACCGGAAGAGACGTGGCCATAGCTGCACTTCTTGGTGCAGAAGAGTTTGGTTTCAGCACAGCACCCCTCATAACACTTGGCTGCATCATGATGCGGAAGTGCCACAAAAATACATGCCCTGTTGGAATTGCAACACAAGATCCAGTGCTTCGGGAGAAGTTTGCTGGAGAACCTGAGCATGTTATTAACTTCTTCTTCATGGTAGCAGAAGAGGTGAGAGAGATAATGTCACAGCTAGGATTTCGAACTTTGACTGAGATGGTTGGTCGCGCAGACATGCTTGAAGTTGATAGAGAAGTAACCAAAAACAATGAGAAGCTGGACAACATCAATCTCTCCCTATTACTCAGACCTGCTTCTGATATTCGGCCTGAAGCTGCCCAATACTGTGTCCAGAAACAGGATCATGGATTGGACATGGCTTTGGACAACAAACTCATTTCTCTTTCAACAGCTGCTCTAGAAAAGGCTTTTCCCGTGTACATTGATACACAAATCTGCAACGTCAATCGTGCTGTAGGAACAATGCTTAGCCATGAAGTGACCAAACGTTACCACATGGCAGGGCTCCCTGCAGATACCATCCATATAAAATTCAATGGCAGTGCAGGTCAGAGTTTTGGAGCATTCCTCTGTTCGGGCATCTTACTGGAGCTTGAAGGTGACAGCAATGATTATGTTGGTAAAGGTTTGTCAGGTGGCAAAATTGTAGTTTATCCTCCAAAGGGAAGCTTGTTCAATCCGGAAGAAAATATTGTGATTGGTAATGTGGCTCTTTATGGGGCAACAAGTGGGGAGGCATATTTCAATGGAATGGCAGCAGAGAGATTCTGTGTTCGTAATTCAGGGGCTAGGGCAGTTGTGGAAGGTGTTGGTGATCATGGTTGTGAGTACATGACAGGTGGTATTGTTGTTGTACTTGGAAAAACTGGCAGAAATTTTGCGGCAGGTATGAGTGGTGGCATTGCTTATGTTCTTGATGTGGATGGAAAATTCCGATCTAGATGCAATCCGGAGCTTGTTGATCTTGATAAAGTTGAAGAAGAAGAGGATATCATGACTCTTAGAATGATGATACAGCAGCATCAACGTTACACAAACAGCAATTTAGCCCGGGATGTAATAGAAGACTTTGAGAAGCTTCTTCCTAAATTTATTAAGGTTGTCCCCAGGGAATACAAACGTGTTCTTGCAAACATGAAAGTAGGGGAAGCCTCAATAGATTCTGTAAAGGATGCTGCTAAAGATGACGAGGTGTCAGATGAGGAGGCTGATTTGATGAAGAAAGATGCTTTTGAAGGGCTAAAGAAGATGGCATCTGCGACTTTGAATGGGAATTCCAACCAGGTATGAAGGCCTGGTGCTTTTTTTTTTTGCTACGCCACTGTTTAGCCTGCACTTATAATTTGTTCTGGTTTGATGTTGACTGTTTGAAATTTACAGAAAGTGGAAGAAGCTGAATCCTTGAAGAGGCCTAGTCGCGTTGATAATGCTGTTAAACATCGTGGTTTTATATCTTATGAGCGTGAGGGTGTTCAATACAGAGATCCTGTCGTGAGAATGAATGACTGGGAAGAAGTTACGGAGGAATCAAAACCTGGCCCACTTTTGAAGACTCAGTCTGCCCGTTGCATGGACTGTGGCACTCCTTTCTGCCATCAAGTAAGGGCTATTTCCCCCATTCTTCTTTTTTCCTTCCCTGAAAACAGAGTATGCTGATGTTTTTTTGTTAGTTATTAATTGTGTATACTCACAGCTGGATATAAAGGATGCTATATCAATTTCTGACATCAAGAAAATTCTTTATAATGAACTTGCAGGAGAACTCCGGATGTCCTCTTGGAAACAAAATACCTGAGTTCAATGAGTTGGTATACCAAAACAGGTGGCATGAAGCATTAGATCGACTTCTTGAGACTAATAATTTCCCTGAGTTTACTGGCCGAGTATGCCCCGCACCCTGTGAAGGGTCTTGTGTTCTTGGCATCATTGAAAATCCGGTTTCGATTAAAAACATTGAATGTGCCATAATTGACAAGGCCTTTGAAGAGGGTTGGATGGTTCCAAGGCCTCCCGTGAAAAGATCCGGGTAAGTATTTTTTTTTTTAAATAAAAACATTAAGCGCCTTAAAAGGGACACTATGGGTCACAAGGCTGCGTTCTTTTCGGTCTATTAGCTTACTAATATGTTGATAAAAAGCTTACATTCAGAAGTTCTTGTATACACCTCTTAAACCATAAAATATTTGATGGTGCAGGAAACGAGTAGCCATTGTTGGAAGTGGTCCCTCTGGTTTGGCTGCAGCTGATCAACTGAATAGAATGGGCCACACAGTAACTGTATTTGAGCGTGCGGATAGAATTGGAGGACTTATGATGTATGGAGTTCCCAACATGAAGACTGACAAAGTGGATGTTGTTCAACGGCGGGTTAACCTCATGGCTGAGGAAGGTGTAAACTTTGTGGTTAATGCTAATGTTGGACTTGATCCTTTGTATTCTCTTGAGCGGTTTAGAGAGGAGAATGATGCCATAGTTTTGGCAGTAGGAGCCACAAAACCAAGGTAAGTTGTAGTTAATTAATCTCTTCACATTGTTTGAACTCGTGTTTTAATTAATACATACTCTTAAACATGATTAATTGGTGTGATATATTTTTGCTACAGGGACCTTCCTGTACCAGGACGGGAGCTATCAGGAGTCCATTTTGCCATGGAATTTCTTCATGCTAACACCAAAAGCTTGCTTGATAGCAATCTTCAGGATGGTAAATATATCTCTGCGAAGGGCAAGAAAGTGGTGGTAATTGGTGGAGGTGACACAGGTACCGATTGCATCGGAACATCCGTCCGACATGGCTGCAGTAGCATTATAAACCTAGAGCTTCTTCCCGAGCCACCCCAAACTAGGGCTCCAGGAAATCCATGGCCACAGGTTATAAACTTTCCACTTCTACTTTTAGGTTTCTTTGTCATTGTTTTCTTATCAATTTGTAGGCTGATCCTGACGATATGCTTTTGATTAGACTGACTCTTATTAAATGTGCATTTTGCAGTGGCCTCGTATTTTCCGGGTAGATTATGGACACCAAGAAGCTGCTGCAAAGTTTGGAAAAGACCCAAGGTCTTACGAGGTATTGACCAAGAGATTTGTAGGAGATGAGAATGGAATAGTTAAAGGACTAGAGTTGGTACGTGTGAAATGGGAGAAGGATGCTTCTGGAAAGTTCCAATTCAAGGAAGTCGAGGGTTCTGAGGAACTGATTGAAGCTGACCTTGTTCTTCTTGCCATGGGGTTCCTTGGCCCTGAGTCGGTTAGTATTTTCAATTGCTTCTCTCTCATAGTTTTCTTGAATGGAACCATTTACCACTTTTGTACTTAGTGTGCTCGTTTTCTACACATTTGTAAACGTGTCAATAAAAAGTAGCGCATTCGCACAAGTCGCTCTTTGGTACGTTTTTGTACTACATTAATTGATTTAAAAGTTATTCTCACTGGTGAAATCTGTTGGTTATTTCAGACGGTGGCGGATAAGCTGGGCTTGGAGCGCGACAACAGGTCAAACTTCAAAGCAGACTATGGTCGCTTCTCAACCAGCGTGGATGGAGTCTTCGCAGCAGGGGATTGTCGGAGAGGTCAGTCCCTTGTGGTGTGGGCAATCTCCGAGGGACGACAAGCGGCTGCACAGGTTGACAAATACCTAATGAGAGAAGACAAGAACGATGTGATTAGCTCAACAAACCATGACGATCATCTTCTCAAGAGGCATCAAGATTTTAGCAAGAGGCAGCAAGACAGCGGTAAACACACAGTGATGACATAAGTGTCGTCGTTTTTTTTCTTCTTCTTTTCAGCGTTGCAGAAATATTGTTTTAGGTAGTAGAATTGATTATCGCGTGGATGGATAATCCCCACTGAGCATGCTTATGTCTCGCTATGGAAAGGAACTGGTTTTGGCAGAAGCGGGAGGGAATAAGGTTCAGCTTGAAAGCGTC